GTCTCGCCCTGGAGGACGCGGGCGGCGGGACCGCCCAGACGCGCCGCGGTCCCGCCGCCCGTGTCCTCCGGGGCGAAAAAAGCTGCTCCACATCTCCCTGGTCTTCCTGTAGTCAGCCGCTGGTCAGTTTCAGCAGCGGTTGAATCTGGACGCCAGTTCCGACTTAAGTACAAATTCGACTTAAGTACAAACCTACAGTCCCTATCTTGTACGTAACCCGGGGACTGCCTGTATTACAATAACCCATTTCAAGGTGACAGAAGAAAAATGTATGGGAATGGCCACATTTTATAAGTAAAAAATTATAGGCAGAGAAAAGAATTTATCTTTATTTACCTAGGAGTGAGTGACATCATTCGAATGCCAATATATTTCTTTTTAGTTACTGCTTTTCCTATTAGAAAGAGAAAAGAAAACCTTACTTATTCTTACCGGAAGTGCTGGTGATCTTAAACACAGAGAGAACCAAGTATTTTTATGTTCGTTCCCTACTGAAGTGACATGCCTATTTTTTAAATAGTGCAATACAATACCTTTAGCTTGTCTGTCATGAGATTCAGTTAAGAACTTTTTAATTTTATCAGAAGGAATTGCAAATGAGATGCCAGCTGTAACTTTTAAAGTATTAATTCCAATCACTTCACCATCCTGGAGGAATAAGGAAGGTATGTTATTAAGCATAAAAGAACATGACAAAGAAACAATGCAAGGGAAGATTTTCTGCAAAAATTCAGTTAAGAAAATTAATAAGGGATATGCCAAATAATTTGAAGCTAATTTTCAATACTTATTAGCTACTAAACTTGGTTTAAACTCCTTTTTTAATTAGAAAAGTTTATGGGAAACATTCGGATACAAGTTTCATGTTGTACATTTAGTCACAACATTAAAATCCAATAAAATCCAATCCAGTTATATACCAGCATAGCCAAAAAACAGAATCTAGTGATATGATTAAAATAAACAGCACCTTACTGCATAACTGGTCCCACTATTTTCAATTTGCTTATTTTAGTGGCACCACTTATGGAGTTAGATACTCTATTTGCATGAGTAACTTTATTGGACTCTGTACCCTTGCATGGAAATACTAAAATGTCAACTGCTGGATTTGTACAGTGTGCTAGGCCAAACGTAACTGTAATATTCTCAGTCTTGCTGTATATTTTGCAAGTCAAAATTGTCCTGATGCAGACTAAGTAGCTTTTCCACAGCGAGGACCTCCAAGCCACACTGTCTGGCCAGGCTGGAAAGAGAACAAGAGGCACTAAATGTGGTTGAGTTAGGCCACAATTTTATTCCTAAATGTCTGGCAGTATCCGGCAGACAAAACTGTCCTTGGGTTTACTGGAAGTTGTTGGGCTGGGCCAGTTCAGCATCTGACTGGAGAACAGAGCATTAACCCCTTCCTTCCCTGATCCAGAGTGGCAATTTTCTGCTCTGTGATGAAAGTACCATGAAGGGAGTATACAAATGGATAGCTTGGGACTCAACTTCAGTTTGCACAGAGTTTATTATTTCTCAACCTGAAAATGTATTTTTACTATTACCTTTTGCATGACATGAGCAAATGTACTGGGCATTACGTTCATTTCAAACTATGCAAATGGCACACAGCTGGAATATGGAACTTCAAGTATACCATGTGACTGGCCAATATAAACACAGATGAGTGATTAGTAAGAACCCTGCCATGTCTGAACAGTCAGCAAGTTCTCATCAGAACTGAATCACTTTCTTTGGCAAACTGCCTTCCAAATTTCTTTCAGAATGATGAACTTTGTTATTTATGTGCTATTTCCATTTTGTGTACATATGTATAGATGTTTTATTCTGTTATGTGTTTGTATTCTATGTAAAACAATAAAAATAAGTGTAAAAATATCTTTAAAAAATAGTCAGGTTAAACATTAAAAAGAAACCCTTACCAGATTTACTAAAGGTCCTCCAGAGTTCCCATACTGAAAAATAAATGTATCGACAGATTACATTTTGGTATCTGTATGAAGTTGCTAAAAGCACAATTTACATATTAAAGAAATGCTGAACTATTTCTATAGTTATTTTCCACTTTCTAAAAAATAGCTGCACAATGGTAACCCCTCAGACTCAGAATACACGTCTCTGCTAACCACACCCTTTGATAGTTCCAACTTTTTCAAAACTGATTTCATTCTTTTGCCAATGAAGTTTAAGCAACACAGAAGATGTTAACAGCTAACACTGTTAACCAACAAATCTAACTCCCAGAGCTATGATAACAAGGGTAAGAAGACATAAAACAACATATTACTTTGCCTCAGACCCATATACACACAAGCTTGGATAATTCTAAAAAAGTTCCTGGTGACAGAGAGACAGGTTAGCTCAGATATTCTATGATTAGTTATTTGATATTGTCCCTTTAGGGACTTAAAAAAAACCAAGCATGGCAGTTGGCTAACTTCACACTGAAAAAAAAATCCCTTTAAAAAAAAAATCCAGCAATTCCCCACTCTTCTTTGAAAAACTAGTGGACAAAACTTCTAGCTGAAATTATAGTCAAAAGTCAGAAACGGAATGAAACCAGAACTATTCAGCTTTGTAGAAGTGCCTTACGTTGATAATTGCATCTGTCTGAATGTAATCCATATCAGAGTTCCGAAGCCCCAATTCCTTTCCTCCACGCTGGGTAGTACTAACAATCCCAGTAGTCACTGTATTTTGGAGTGAAAATGGACTTCCAATTGCAACCACAAATTCTCCAGGCCTCAAGTCCGCAGATCGACCAAGTAGCAGGACTGGCAGTTTACCCTGTGTATAAATGATGGTCAGAATTACCACAAGACAATCCTTAACAAATAAAATCAATACACAGATGCTCTGCTATCGCCAGGGATTTTGCATCATTATGTGAACAATATGGCCATAAACTTTAAAATCTAAGGGATATCTTCTTAGGTAACATTTATTTTTTCCCCTCATATTGTATAGCCATTAAATGAGAAGCAATTAAAAAATAAGTGAGTATTCGTGCATTGCCCTGCAAGACAAATATTTGGACTTGGGTTTGATAGCTTCTTGAAATCAATTAGCAAAACAACTATAGATGTAGTAATAAAACAAAAGCATTGATTAGTAATTCTAAAAAGTGAAACACAAAGTATATAAACATATATGCAAGAAATCTGGAACATATTTAACCTTATTCCCTCTCTGAGGGTATGTCTACACTACAAAGTTAGTTCGAACTAACGGACATTAGTTCGAACTAACTTTCATAGGTGCTACACTAGCGCTCTGTTAGTTTGAATTTAATTCAAACTAACGGAGCGCTTAGTTCAAACTAGGTAATCCTCATTCCACGAGGATTAAACCTAGTTCGAACTAGCTAGTTCGAATTAAGGGCTGTGTAGCCCCTTAATTCGAACTAGTGGGAGGCTAGCCCTCCCCAGCTTTCCCTGGTGGCCACTCTGGCCAACACCAGGGAAACTCTACTGCCCCCCTCCCGGCCCCGGACCCCTTAAAGGGGTACGGGCTGGCTACGGTGCCCGTGCCAGGTGCAAGCCTGCCAGCACCCAGCCCGCAGACCCTGCACCTGGCACGGATCGAGCCACCCACCCGATGCCCAGGACCGCAAGAGGCGGGCACCCCCCTCG